GAGCCTCAAGCTGTACCCCTGGGCAGAGTGCTCTGGCATCACAGCTCACAGCAACCTCCAACTCCTGGGCTCAAGCGAGTCTCCTGCCTCCGCCTCCCAAGTAGCTGGGACCACAGGCGCCCGCCACAACGCCCGGCTATTTTTTTTTGGTTGCAGCCGTCATTGTTGTTTTGGCGGGTCTGGGCTGGGGATTCGAACCCGCCACCTTAGGTGTATGTGGCTGGCGCCTTAGCCGGTTGAGCTATAGGCGCCGAGCCAAAATTTTTCTCATCTATTTTCTGCCTGTAGATAGTTGAGGACCCATGGGTTATTTTACATCGTGATCAATAACAGACTCTTTTAATCCAGACTGATCTTTCTTTCTTTCTTTTTTTTTCTTTCTGACAGAGCCTCACTTTGTTGCCCTTGGTAGAATGCAGTGGCATCATAGCTTACAGCAACCTCAAACTCTTGGGCCCAAGCCATCCTCTTGCTTCAGCTTCTCAGGTACCTGGGATTACAGGTGCTTACCATGACACTGGCTATTTTTTTTTAGAGATGGGGTCTTGCTCTTCCTCAGGCTGGTCTCCAACTCTTGAGCTCAAGCAATCCACCTGCCTCTGCCTCCCAGAGTGCTAGGATTATAGGTGAGAGCCATTGTGCCCCACCTCAGACTGATATTTCTCTTAAGCTCTCTCAGGAACTGAGCAGGTTTTTAATTGCACACAGCTACATGTGCAATTCTGTTCTACATATATTTCTTAGATTTTTCATATTTCTTTGTTTTTCTGTGTCTATGCTTCTCTCTTTTTCTTAATTTCAGGTATCTTAAGCCTATAGGTCTTTATACCCTTTTTCCTAAGAGATTCTGCCTAAATAAAAATATTGATTAGATGCCATAATTTTTTTGGATCCTTACTCTAAAATACCTTAACTCAGATGTTTTAATAACATTTTACAGTCTAATCTGTAATTTGACCCTTATTGTAAGGCTGTTTTAATTGGCTTTTGTTGTGTAAATGCCTTTTCAATTTTCTTTTTGATATTAATTTCAATATCAACCAAGTAGGCTGGGTTATGCTATAGTAATTTATGAAAACCAATTCTTGGTTGTTTATAACAACAAAAGTTATAGTTCTTGCTTTGGCTCCGTTTCCCACATGGATTGGCACAGGTCTCTGATCACTTGGGGACCCTGGCTGAAGGAGGCTCTGTCTCAAAGTGCTCCCATGATTTCCAAGGCAGGAAAAAGCATATGGCAACCCAGGAAGCGGCTCCTAAAGTCTTCGGCATAGAAAGGACACAGATCGCTTCTGCCCATATTTCACTGGCCAAAATACTTGGCTATGCCTAAATTTAGAGGGATGGCTGAGGAAGTATAATTCTGTTATGTGCCTGGAAGGAGGAGAATCAGAATATCTGTGAGTAGCCCTGATAAATCCCACCTTGGCAATACCCTGGCTGGAGGAAATGACTGCTGGCCAGTGTGGAGCTACTCAGGACCAGGGCACGCTGCCTGCTTTGTGCGAGACCAGCCCTGCCCCACATTGTTGCAGGCAGTAAACAGGATGCCTTTCTCCATATGGCTTTCATTACCACTTCATTTCATTAGGAAATCAGTGGGGGCATTCTGCAGCATTACAGAAATCTCAGGAATGAAACCCACCAAGTCACTTACAAACTCAGCACTGCTCCCTTCCGATATTCATCAAGGAAAAATAAACCCATAGAGTGATCTCATGTCCTTTTATTTTTTTCCCTGAGACTTTGGACAAGAACAATATTTGAAATTCTGTGATAATAGGAAGGAAAACGGTGTTGTGTAGAAGAACGCTATGACAATGTTGACTTTTGAGGATTCTTCTTTCGGTAGCATTGACGATGACGTATTATTAACGTTTCTTCCACTGGAAAGAGCATCCCTGTTCAATTCAACCAAGAGTGGGAGCAGCTAGTGGAGGTTATGCTAGAATTTGAGTACATGATCTTTTTAGGCTCAGCATAACTCAAAGAGACAATTAACATTTTAGGGAAGTTCATTGTTAAGTGTGTTTTTCCTCCTTTGTAGAGCTAGCCGTAGGGGCTATGAAGACAAGCTTAAGCTTCTCCAGCTGAAGAACGTGTAAAAGGGACCTGATGAGACATTTCATTTGAAATGGATTCCAGAATTCTTGATTGGGTTGGTAATAATATGTTAGAAATACAGACAGTGGGAAAAAGTCTTAGGAGGAAAAAGGCTCATAGTGGGCACCCTGGTATAAGAGAAAGAATAATGCTTGACTTTGTGGACATTATGGGTTCAAATGTCATTTCCACAAAATGGCTGTGTGACCTTGGGAAGATGCTTAAAATCTTTAAGCCCAATGCCCTCACTGTGATATGGGGGAAATAATACCTTCTTACAGGACAGACATAAAGAATATAGGAGATAATGAAGTAAAAATGCTCAGCCAGCTTGGTGGCCAGCGCTCTGTAGGTGGTCCATAAACAACGTGAACCACGTGAACCACGTGCCTCCCCCAGAAAAGGCAGTTAAGAGAGTAAGTGGAGAGTCCTGACCAGGGATGGACCCAGGCTCTGAAAAGATGAGGGCACATCTCAGGCAAAATAAGGCAAGGATGATTTCTAAGACTTTCAAGTATTTGTGAGACTCTTCTCACCTCAGATTTGTATGACTCCACTTTTTCTTCTCTCTCTCTTCTTGTACTTGTATTTATTATTTACTCTTGTTTTCCCTGATAACCCCCTCCTTCCTTTTAAATGGATTCTTCTAGTCTCTGCATTTTATCCTCTCTCTTTCCTGCTGTTACCTTTTCTGTCTTCGTATTATTCCATCACTCTTTGTCCCTGGTCTGTATTTCTCTTTTCCTCCCATTTCATCTTTCATCCTTTCTAAGCTGTTTAGTGGGGTGACCCGGAGGCAAGTCTGTGAAACTGCTATGTCTTCAGCGCCTCTGTCTGCCTCTTCTTTAGCTCTCTGCAGGGAGCTCCTTGACCTTCAGTGAAGCCCCTTCCTCTGCTCCATCCACCTGCTTCCCCTGGGCCATAGCAATCTGTTTCCCCTACTAGAATCTGCCTTTAGAAAGGGCTCTGATCAACTCAGAAATAAAAGTATAAATAAAGTTTGGTGCTTTACTTTTCTCAGGGATACTAGAATTTCACTCAAATACAGAGCTTTAAGGCCAAGAAATAACTCTCTAATAATAATTTCAGGCAACAGAAAGTGACCAAGCACATTTTCTTTTCAGCAGGAGACTTTCCCTGCCAAACAAACCTACTCACAGAGCTTGTTATACCCTGATATTTTAGAAGAACATAAAATAAAAAGACTTGAATAAAGCTAGAGTTAGACTCAGCCACTGTCTGGTACATGGAAAAATATCAGTCTAATAGGTTTTGGGCTAAAAACTATTTAATTCCAAAGGGATTATGTGCAGCAGACGCAAATCAGTTCAATCTGGCTTTTTGTTCTTTCTCTGTTTTATCAATTTTAATGTAATTTGCAAGGGATTATGAGCTCCATTACATGTGTCTGCAAACAGCATGAATCAATCTAACCAAAGGGCCTTGTGCACCCTGACAGTGGCCTGGCAGCGTGGTGGGGACTGCCATGTGTCAGCCAGACCATTCTCGTCACTACTGGCCCCCATGCTTAAAGTCTGCATGCTTCCACAGGCCTATAAAAATATTTGATCCCTGAAAAGTATATGGATTCTCAAGTATGAAAAATATAACTTAATAAATGTAAAATTTGATATCTACAAATCAAAACAGTTATCATTTGGCTACTGCTCATTCTTATGTCATTATATTTACATTGTATTTAACATGGGAGGTGAATCTATTTTAACATGTTTGATATGATGGGGACGGGTCTTCCACAAGTAAGAGCGCACAAAGTCACTCAAGGTCGTTTCAAGACCCTGAATGTCAGAGAAATGAAAATCGGAATCAAAGTGGGAAAACACGAAGCTATTTTTCCAGAGTAACATGAGTCTCTAGGCCCAAAGTGGAGGTTCTATTCATATTCCAGGTGGGAGACATTACATCATACTTGCCCCATCCAGCTATACGAAGATGCAACATCTGGGCAGAGGCCCCAAATACCATTGGAAATAGACCCAACATGGAGAAAGCTTTTATTTTCAGAACTCCTTCCCCTCCCCCAAATTACTATATGTAGGTAGGCATATGCCATGGACTAAATCGTGTCCTAACTCCCATGTGAAAATATTGGAGATAGAGTCTTTAAAGAGGTGATTAAGGTTAAATGAGATTATAAGGGTGGTGTTCTGATTCATAGAATTGCTGGTGTTTTGTTTTTTTTTAAGAGATGGGGGCTCCCTATGTTGCCCAGCAGGTGGGTCTCAAACCCCTGGCTTCAAGTAATCCTCCGGCTTCAGCCTCCCACGTATCTGGGAGTGCAGGTGCATGCCACTGCACCAGCTGAACTAGCTCTTGTAAAAGAGACACCAGAGATCACTCTACCATGTGAGGACATAGCAGGCAAGAGGACAGCCAACTAGAAGCCAGGGACTGAGCCCCTACCAGGAACCAAATTTTCCAGAGCCTTGATCCTGGACATCCCAGCTTCCAGACCGTGAGAAAGAAATTTCTGTAGTTTGAGCCACCTAGGCAGTGCTATTTTGTTATAGCAGCCAGAGCAGACTAAGAAAGAGGAGATTGACTGTTCAGTAGCTGGGCTAGGGTCAGAATGTTCAGGGCATGGTTTAGGATCAAGAAATGGTCCCCAAAATGCCTCCTGAGTCTGGCGAGCTGCATGGTGTTTGTTTTACCAAGGTGGGTGTGCAAGTCAGGGACAGAGCTGAACTTCTCAGGACCAACTGCTGCCGCCCGTGAGTCCTTTCTGCTCTTTGCCAAGCAGCACACAGTTTTCCTCTAGATAGATGACTGATGGATATTTCAAGAATAGCTGATGAAGGGGCACCAAATTACTAGCTACCTAGATCACCCACAGGCATGCATTTGGTCTGGTCCTGGCTAACTGTGACCCTTCATACCTCCAGGTCATAGCCGATGCCGTGGGCCCTACACATCTGCAGAAAAACATAGTGGAAAACCAGCGAGAGATTGTTGTGCTTCAGCTGGGTGGTCATCACCGCATAGCGACTGGTTGCTGATGTCTGGAAAATAGCATAACGGAATGTTAGGTTTTTATACAAATACTTCCAATGAGCTTTTAATTTTAGAATAACTATAGATTGACTGAAAAGTTGCAAAGATAATTCAGAGAGTCTCCACATCCCCACACTCGCATCTACTGTTAACATCTTACATCGCCGTGGTATGCCTGTCATAGCCACGGAGCCACATTGCCACCTCTGTATCAATGCGAGCCCACGCTTGCTTTATTTGGACATCATTACTTTGTCCTTAATTCCCTCTTTCACTTGCTCTCGCTTTTGTTCAGGATCCCACCCAAGATATTTTCTTGTTGTTTAGTTGTCCTATCTTCTTAGGTTTCCCCAGGCTGTGACAGTTTCTCAGTCTTTCCCCGTTTTTGATGATCGTAACCATTTTGAGGAGTACTGTTCAGGTATTTTGTAAAATGTCTCTCAGCTGGGGTTTGTCTGATGTTTTTCTCATGACTAGACAGTGGTAGTGTGATTCTGAGAGGAAGAGCATGGAGGGAAACTGCCGTGCTCATCATCTCACACGATATCCGCGTGACTTAGCACTAACGGTGTTAACCTTCGTCACCCTGGCTACCTTAGCAGAGACTTTATGGGGTTCTCCCCAGTAAGGACGCTTCCCTCCTGCCCATACTATATTGTTTGGAAGCAAGTCAGTAAGCGTAGCCCACCTCCCCGAGGTGCCAGTGGTAGAAGTTTGACACTAACCACTTGTTTTGTTTAGGAAACTGCTAGTCCTCATCTTACTTGCCCATCAGTGAGAGTCGCCCATCAGTGAGAGATTGATTCTGGTAGGCCAAAAATATTTTGATTATACACTTCCTAAAAACATTTCAATTTTAATATGTACAAAATGAAGTATTAGCTCCTGGAAGTTTTTGCAGCATGTTCTTTGTGAGTTGAGATATTTATGCCTTTGATCAGGGGTCCTCAAACTTTTTAAACAGGGGGCCAGTTCACTGTCCCTCAGACCATTGGAGGGCCGGACTGCGGGCCCCGGATGAGTTGGCTGCTTAGCAGGACAGGCAGCGGTGGCAAAAACACCTGGCAGGCCGAATAAATGTCCTGGGCAGGCCACATGTGGCCTGCAGGCTGTAGTTTGAGGATGCCTGCCTTTGATGATCAGCTGTGTTTCTCTTTGAAAAGCAGGAAATTTGGAGAACTGCTTATAGGGCCATGGCCAGCATTAGGGCAAGAAGATGAAGGCGCCTGGCTCAGCTCTTGAACTTTGGGGACCCTCAGAAACTTGGCAACTTGGAACAGGAGTAGGAAAAGGACATTCTGCTGGTCCACAGCTGGCTGTGAAGGCCTAAGTGACCTGATGCTCATTAGGCCTTGGGCCCCTCTCTGTCTCTGAGCTTACACGGGGAGGACTGAGGCTGCAGGGAATGGACGTCCTCTCCTCTCTGCCTCTCTCTCTCAGCATACAAATCCACAAAGTCAGATTTCATGGCTACTTTTTATGACATACTTCCCCCCATGTGGTGTCTTTTTCTTCAACATTCATATCAAGGGCTGTCTCTGAGGGTCATGTCACTAGTAGCAGTGATTGAGGCTCCTCTTCCCATATGTGAGCAGAGGCCACATCCATGGGCGTGGTAGGCCCCATAGGCTGATGCCTCTTGAGTGTGCCCCATTTGTAGCCACTGGGATTTTTTTTTTTAATAAGAGAAAATTTATCTCACTCTCATATGCCTCACGACTGTACTTGATCACCCTAACCCATCATAAGTTGTTCCCCCGGCAGTGTCCCTTCCATCACCAAGGGCAGGCACTGTTTGCTTTCTGCATCTCCAGGCTGGGCATGATGCTGTCACTGAACAAGCATTCAGAGTTTACCGAATGAATAAAGCAATGATCACGTGACATAGACAATCAGGTGGACAGCATTCCCCTCTGACTTAAGGAAACTCTTCAAAGGATATAGTTCAAGGGACTTCCACTCTGTAAAAGCTTTGGGGCATAAGCAGGTGATTTATAAGGCACAGAGGACAGTGATACCATCCCTAAAGAAGGACAATTCAGGGCAATCACTCTAGATCTTGGCCCCTGGAGGACAGTGTGTCTCTGGTGAACTAAGCAGGAATAATTGGTGAGGCAGCAAGAACCAGCTAAGAGAAGTTCTAGCTTAGCTGGTTAGTCAGCCTGGAAGGTGAAGGCCACCAGGCCTGCTTGCCCTGCCATGTCAGCCTTGCCACGCTCCTGCCTTTGCAGTGAAGGCCCCGAAGCCTAAGCTTTTGCACATGGATGTGAACTGTAAATACTTTGGAATTCCACTGTGGTTATTGAGCATGTAATTGCGTGGTAATTGCCATGAATTCACAAGATAATTCCAAGGTTATTTTTGTCTTCCTAACTTGTCTTATGCTGCCATAGTACACTAACAAGCAAAACCAAGACCAGGCCCCAGCCAGCAACAGAGGTGGGCAGGCATCTGGTAGCAGGATCAGCTCCATGCTGTGTGTCTTGGCTCCAGAGCACAGCAGAAGAGTTCACTGCCCTGGAGTACATGGGTACTGCACAAGTAAGGACAGGCCACCCTGAGGTTTCTTCTCTGTGGATGCAGACTGTAGCTCCCTCTCCTCCCAGACCTTGGATGGCGATTCGTAAAGAATCTGAAAGAACCAGGATAATTGTTTCATGCCCCCCAGCTGCCTCTTCTTTTCCATAACTATCCTAGTCCAAACCACAATGCCTAGATAGTTATTCTACTTTTTAGTAGAGACAGGGTTCTTGCTCTTGCTCAGGCTGGTCTCGAACTCCTGAGTTCAGCTGATACACCCATCTTGGCCTCCCAGAGTGCTAGGATTATAGGCCTGAGCCACTGCACCTGGCTAGTTACTGTTCTTTTGAAAGGAATTTAGACCCTACAATAAATGCAATTTCCCAGCTGTTCCTTCCCTTGCTGATGTCCCTGTCTCCTGGGATTCTGAGCATCACCAGATGGATCATTTTTCCCAAACCCAGCTTGGTCAATGTCATTCTCCTCCTCAGAAGTCTTTAGTGTCTTTTTCTTGCCTGACGTTGAAATCCAGACCTTGACTTGATGGGCAGATGTGCCAAGCCTGCTCAGGGCACTACTCCAGCCACCTTTCCTGCACCCCTTTTCTGGACTCTCTGCTCCAGTTTGCTGCCTTCTCCTAACAGACCACAGACTCTCTTTGGGCTCTGTTCTGTTTGCTGGGGGAGGTCTCCCACTCCTTGCTGCCTGTTGACTGCCCTAGACCTTAAGGTATGAACAAGTTCTATGTTCTTAGTAAAGGATCCCCGGCCCCTGACAGTCCACAGTCATCTTTCCAGAGAACTCCAGCAGCAGGTTGAGGGTCTGTCACTCAGATGAGGCCTTAGGGTTTCCCTTGTGCTGTCTAGTTCAATGCCAGACTCCCTGTTTTTCAACTCCTTGAGGACAGAATCTTTGTTAAATGTCTTTGTACCCCAGAAGTTTGGTGAAATTCCTGGCACATATTTAATACTAAACAAGTGTGTTATGATAATGCTAATAATGATGGACATACAAGATACACCTACTTTGTAAAAGACTTAACCAATTTCACAGTTTCTACAGGAAAAAACGGTTGCTCATGTTGTGTTGTCTTATATCCATCCTGTAGCATGGGTGACAGAACAGTCCAGAAGGAAGGGTTAGAGGAGCGTATCAAGACCCTGAAACAGGGTCTGGCTCACAGTGAACACTCAATAAATTTCAGCAATTATGACCACATAATATAGTTCTGCAAATAAAGTCAATTATTTAATATCAAAACTGAACCACCCAACCAATGAGACTTTTTATCGGAGAGTGACTTGAGGTCGGGCACGGTGGCTCACACCTGTAATCCTAGCACTCTGGGAGGCTGAGGCGTGTGGATTGCTTGAGCTCATGAGTTCAAGACCAGCCTGAGCAAAAGTGAGACCCCCCCATCTCTACTAAAAATAGAAAAACTGGGACAAGAGGATCGCTTGAGCCCAATAGTTGGAAGATGCTGTGAGCTATGACATCACGACATTCTACCCAGGGCGAGAGCTTGAGACTCTATCTCCAAAAATAAATAAATAAATAAATAAAAATAAAATAAACTGTGTGAGTATATTACGTACCTCAAAAAAAAAAGAAATGTATGATAAAATTTGATTTTGAGGACAAATTTTGCAAATACATATTTCATGCATATTTTTAGTGTATGAACTGTTTACTTCTAGAAAAACACAGTCAAGCTTTTCTACATGGTTCACAGTATAAGTGATATCATCTTTTTCATACTTTTTGTTATTTATCTGGAAATTGGTGCCATCTAGGAAACCCATACCATATCTGCTTATACTTCTTTCTTTCTTTCTGTCTTTCTTTCTTTCTTTCTTTCTTTTTGGCTTATAGTTCTTTAAATAGTCCACGCGTCCTCCATGACCATCCTGCCATTCAGCGCTTCTGAGTCTTGGCTGAGCGCAGAGCACATGAGAAGCCCATGGATAAAGGCAGTATGCCTGGAAACAGCCTCATCACATGGGGAAATGAATCCCCCTTTGGAAGAAGAGCTTTCTCTATGTCCTCACCAAAAGATTTCTTCAGGAATGAGCTCCAGCTCTACTCTGGAGCCAGATCATCAACTCTGAGCCAGTGAAAAGCAAGCTGGACAGCCCTGTGATTGAACACGCAGGTGGAGGTTAAATCCCGGCAGCACCACTTGCTTGCCTAGTGACCTTTAACAAGTTGCTTAACAGCTCTAAACCTCAGTCTTCTCTAAAAATGAACACAACAACATCAGTTGTTGTGGAAACCAACTGATGGCTACAGTAACATCTGATGAGGACCTTTTACAATATTAGGCAAATGCCTAATATGTTGGACTGTAAAAAGATTCATGTAAAGCTCTTAGTAAAGTAGCTGGGGTTTAGTAAAGGCTCCATGCATTTGCATGTTATTATCATATTAATACATGCATTATATTTATCTGGTGACCTACCTGTGCACTTTGATAAACTTGGAGCAATCTGCTACGCATTTTATTTTTTTTTTTGAGGTAGAGTCTCACTCTGTCACCCTGGTAACAGTGCAGTGGTGTTATCATAGCTCACTATAACCTCAAACTGCTGAGCTCAAGTGATCCTCCTGCCTCCACCTCCCAAGTAGCTGGGACTATAGGCATGTGCCTTGATGCCAGGTTAATTTTTCTATTTTTCGTAGAGATAAGGTGTCATTCTTGCTCAGGTTGCTCTTGAACTTCCGATCTAAAACCATCCTCCAGCCTTGGCCCCCCTATGGTGCTAGAATTGTAGGTGTGGGCCATGCACCTGGCCTGCTACTCATCCTCATGCCCTCTGTGTTTAACAGAGATCCTGGCAGAGAGTAAGTGTTGCGTGATCACCTGCTGAATTTACTTGTAGTTGGTTGTCGTGGAAACCAACTGATGGCTACAGTAATGGCTGATGAGGACCTTTTACAACAATATTACCTCTTTCTCAAAGATTCTGCAAGAAAAAGACCTTTTAAGGGAAGGTTGCAATACCAAGCGATGGGTCCTTCCTGTGTCCCCTTATGGGAGATATCCCTTTCTTCTGCCCTCCACAACACAGAAGGCTGCCTGGACAAGCCTTAGAACACTTTTCTATAGTCCCCCGCAAGACCAAATTCCTCAAGAGACCTTGGGGATTATTTTGCCCTCCCTTATTTTACAAATGAGAGTGATGACATCATAGAGATCAGAATTCAAGATTTCTCAGGACCACCCAGAACATTGCTCTTCCCTACAAATTACCACCGGCCACATCTGGCATGTGTGGGGATTTCAGAGGTTAGCCTTTTCCAGTAAAAAAGAAAAAATTAAAGACAAAAGATTACTGGTAGAAATCTAGTCTTATTAAACTACCTTTCTAAATCACAATCTAACAAGAATGCTTTGAGCCAAATAAAGGAAGCTTGAAATACTCCTTTTCACTGGAGAATATAATTTTATTTCAGCCACAATTTAAATTGATTTAGTTCTGAGCACCAGCACTTGAAGTGTGGAGCATATTCTATTTTCGCCATGATACTTGTTTTGACAGTGATGCATTTCAGTTGACATAGTTGAAATCCTTATGTAATAAATCTCTGCCTGAAAATTAATCATGTTTATAATATTCTGAGAATTAATAACACCCATTGCTCAAATCATTAACTTAAAAAAGGAGCTTCCAAAATCTGTTGTCGGCAGTAAGGGACCACAAATAAATGAATGTTTGATAAAATAATCCAAGTAGCAGTTTAACAAGCGTAAACTCGAATGTGGCTGCAATAACACAGAACTATTGTTTAAGGGTTGGCAGAGGCTGATGAGGTTCTTCTTTCAGTTAGGAAGCAGGCATCCACACGCATAATGAACTGCTCTCTGAATTATTAATGTGTTGCTTATTTAGCCTCATCTGTCTAGAAGATAATGTATCCTAACTCTAATGAGTGATTGGTTTTGTACATAATTACAGTAGCAGCAGTAGCGGGGAAATGTGCGCCTTCAAAGAAGGAGTTCTAAAAATAAAGTCATCACATAAACTCTGTTGTTGTTGCATTCTATCAAAATCAAACCCGAAGCATTTGAGAATTTATAATAAATTACAGGAGACAGAATCATTATTAACATCATAATTTAACACAAAAGGTTTTACTTAATCATTCATTACAGATCATGTTCTGTTAAAATGTGAATAAATGACTTGGGTTGTTTTAAGATGTTTGCAAAGATGGTCCCTTTCGGCCACTCACCAGCCGTGGTGTGGAGGGTCAAGAGAAAGAGAGAGAGAGAGAGGAAGAATGAAAAATGACAGAAAAGGGTAAGAATTTATGCCAGTTCTGATGGAATGTTAATTAGGAGTTAAAAAACTGTTAGGTGAGAGCTTTTCATTTCTAAAACAAGTGCATCTGGGGTTTCCCAGGCTCTGTTTATACCTGTAAGTTGTCATTTGTGGAAGTCGCTGGATCAGAAGATCAGTGACCTGGTCTAAATGGGTTTAAGTGACAATTTGCCACCTGTTTCTGATGGGAAACAGCTCTTCTGAGAGTCCAGAAGAGACTTTGCTTGTCCCTATACAGCACGGAGTTAAAGGGGCAGCCCCAACCTGGAGCATTTATAGGTATTAGTTCTGGGTGCTCTCTCATGATCACTGTGGTCTCAGCTGTGTGTTTTTCTTCAGTTTTCAAAGGTGGCTGTCAATTGACTGATCACAAACCTGACAGCGTCACAGCATGTTCACACTTGTTAAGGAGCTCAGAAATTCCAGTTTGCTCAGGAATTGTACTGTGTGTGCCTGTCTACATGCTTCCTTCTAAAAAACAGCCTGTCACATGTGTATATGAGCACGGGAGCGTGCACACACAGGCACTGGGCACCAGGGTGACAATGTCCATTTGTATCTTTCTGAAACCAAAAGCACTTTTCATTTTTCCCCACATCAGAAAACCCGCCCAGCTCCTCTGCAGTGATAGAAGAGGCATCTGCCTTATTGTAGCTCATCACGCCTCCCTTTTGTGTGTGTGTAGCAGTTTCTAGAAATGTGTAAGGCACTTGATCACAGAACTCCCGTGCTCTCTAGCCTATAGATGGGAACAAAACCCATAGCAACATGGGAAAATGGGAGAGTCCTTCCAATTCAGAGTGCATTTCTGCTTATAGCCTTCAGAAGTAACAGTCTTCAATGCATCAGGTTGCTTTTGGAAGTCTTGCGTTGAAACCATCTCAGTTTCCACCTCCCTTTTAGAAATGCCATGGAGTTAGGCTCACTAGCTAGCAGGGCTCAAGTCTGATTGCTGTCTCTCTTGCTGGCATGGAACTTAGGGCCCCATGTCTCAGGTCTCTTTGGTGAGGTGGAGTCAGACCTAGGAGATTCCCAGCAAGGTCCCAGAACCTAATTAAAAGAGGTCTATTCTCCCCAGTCCAACTCTGCTTCTGTTCCCAATAAGCTACTGGATCAAAAGGATGCCTTTGAGTAAGGGCCCTGCAACTACCTTACTAAACAGGTGGATGAGGAAAGGAGGAGGTAGGAGCACCCCAAGACATCAGGTTCTCCCTCTATGGTGACTGTAGAGGCCCTGGGCGGAGTAAAACAAAAGTTCTTTAATTCTTGAGGCATTTCCTGGACCAGTGGTTCTCAGCCTTCCTAATGCCGTGGCCTTTTAATACAGTTCCTGTGGGTCACAACCCGCAGGTTGAGAACCACTGTCCTGACCCCAAGGCCTTCAGCAGAGAGGCAGGAAACACTGCTCTGAAAAGGTATCTCTGGGATACCAGGGTGGGGTCCTACTGACCACTGGAGTTTCTCTTTCATGTGCACGACACATTCCAGTTTCAAGTAGAGGTTCATTTGCAAAACAGGTGTGAAGCCCAATATTGCAGGAGAAGGCGGAAGAAACCTCTAGCAACTGTTGGAGTAGCCGTGGTCAGAGAGCCCCCATGCGCTCTTCCAGGAGGGCCATCTGGTCCTCTTGACCTCTGCTGCCTCACCCCAGGACCAATTTAGCCAGTGCAACCAAGCACCCACTATCCCCACAGAGATCTGTGCTATGCAGGGTGCTGAAGTTGGCAAGCCTCTCGCAGCCGCAGGACCCTGGCCCCAGCCACCCCTCACAGGGCTAGTGAGAAGGGGGACTGTGACAGCAGGAAGCAAAGCGGCAGATCCCAGAGGCTCACAACTGTACTGCGAAGTTTGCGGGAGTCATTTCAAAATCACACATACAGGGGCAACATGCTCACACCACTTTTGCCCTCACCATCCTCACTGCAGTGTCTGCTTAGCCTGAGGGGAGAGGCCCGAGGCAGGGATCTCATGAAGACTATTATACACCTACTGTGAGGTGGTGAAGGCCGAAACTCAGGAGAGTGTTGTGGAGGGACAGAAGGGGTCAGCTTGAGGTGCTTTAGCAGCTAGACTGAATGTGAATTAGTGGCTGTCTACATGTGGGGCTCTGGGGGCATCTTTCCAGCCCCTGGCCTGATCCACAAGAGGAAGGACAGGAAGAGGAAAGGTGATGAAGGCAGTTTTGGATAGCTTGGCCCTGAGGGCCCCAAGCAGAGAAATTTTGTAGAATTTTGGATCTGGGCGTCTGAAGCTCAGTAAAAGAGATTGGGGCTAGGAAAAAAGGGGTTTTGTCAGAAATAGCTAGTAACTGAGCAGTGAGCAGAGATGGACTTGCCCAGGGAAATGAGAAGAGAGCCCCACGCTCTTTTGCACACCTGCACGTCGCTTTCTCTTTCTGGAACGCCCTTCCCCCTTTCCTCCCACCAATGCGTTCACATCCCAAAACACATTTCAGACAGGTTCAGTGACTTGTCTGAAGCTTTTTCTTTCTGTATTCAGAGAGGCTGGCAGTGAAAGCCCAGGAAATGGCAGGTGACTGCCGCTGAACACAAAGCAATCGGAAACGTCTGCTGCTTACCGGCAGTGACAGAGGCCTCACGTGGCTCGTTTTCTTCTTTTTCTTTGGAACAAAGAGGGGCACTTCGAGGGTGCCCAAACTGCAATCCAGATGGCCATTTGTCAGGTATAACATGAGTTGAGTCAGGGCCAGCTGGTCACTATAGAAGAGGTTAAGGCCCGTTGCCCACACCTGATTAAAATAGAAAGCAAAAGAGTGAGGGTGATACCAGCCAACAGCAGAAAAAGCACCACCTCCTCCAGCCAGCCCAAACCACCAGCCCAAGCAAAACCAGGAACATGTAGCTTAATGAAGTAGATGCTTTTGCTTCTGTTTCTACATCATTCAACTGAGGGACTGAGTCTTATTCCAATAGGAAGATTTAAGGTTCTTTTCTTTTTTTTGAAGATAGTCTCACTATGTTAGTAGAGTGCTGTGGCATCACAGCTCACAGCAACCTCCAACTCTTGGGCTTAAGTGATTCTCTTGCCTCAGCCTCCCAAGTAGCTGGGACTACAGGTGCCCGCCACAACGCCTGGCTATTTTTTGTTGTTGCAGTTGTCATTGCTGTTTAGCAGGCCCAGGCCGGGGGGCTCAAACCTGCCAGCTTTGGTGTATGCAGTCGGCACCCTACCCACTGAGCTACAGGTGCCGCCTGAGTTAAGGTTCCTGTGGAAAGTTATAGATACATGTGGGTAAGACGGCCTAACAGGCACGCCTAGTCCCAAAAAGCTTAAGTTGACTTTAGCTTTTCTGCCCATGGCCTGCCATTTCTAAGGTAGTGCAAGGTTTTCCTCTGAGAAGAATGAAACCAGACAGACGCTTCAAAGGGTGAGGAACTAAGGTGGAGCAGAAAGAGGGAAAATGTGAGTAAATATGAGAAAAGGGCAGCCCTGATTTGGGAAAAAATGGTGACTCCTAGTATGAAATTTAAGGGAAACTTATGGCTGGCCTGTATGTCTTAGCTCCTCCATCACTTCATAATGAGAGGGCAGGAGATATATATATATACATATATATATATATATATTTTTTTTTTTTTCTTTTTTGAGACAGAATTTCACTCTGTTGCCCTGGTTAGAGTGCCTGCCATGGTGTCATAGCACACAGCAACCTCAAACTCTTGGGCTCAAGCAATCCTCTGGCCTCAGCTTCCTGAGTAGCTGGGACTATAGGCACCCACCGCGAAGCCCAGCTAGTTTTTCTATTTTTTTTAGAGATGGGGTCTTGCTGTTCCTCGGGCTGGTCTTGAACTCCTGACCTCAGGCAATCCACCCACCTCACCCTCCTAGAGTGCTAGGATTATAGGCACAAACCACTGTGCCTGGCTCAGAATATTCTTATTTTACCACTCCACACATCACAGTATTCTCAACTGTTAACTGGTAACACCTTATCCTAGTTGTATTACAGGATTATTAGAAGAACACTATGATGCAACAAGAATAAAAATGCTATGAAAAATAGACATGTTAGTTATAAGTTAATGTCAACTACTGGTAATTGATTAATGACCATTAATTCCTTTGACAAATATTTGCTGAACATCTACACTGCACTAAACTGGCAGTGACAATAGCAAGTCACGTGCTACTCTTTCCCTCTTTTATGACAGATCAACTTTAATTACCCTTGTCATCCTCCAGGCCACACTGAATCCAGAAGCATCCCCAGAATCCCCCTCAGTTCAATCTTCAGAAATATCATTGTCTTAGACACTGGAGAGTCAGAGGTAAATAGGTGAAGGTCCTGCCACAGAGAAAGTGAAGGCCAAATACATACATGTCCCATAATGTAATATGTGATGTAGCATGCAATATCGATATGGACAAAACACTATTGAAGTAGAAAGACAGGATGGGCTGGGTCTGCCTGGTGAAGTCAGGGCTGTATCGTGAAGGGGATGTGTGAGCTTTTTTTTTTTTTTAAAGACAGAGTCTCAAGCTGTCACCCTGGGTAGAGTGCCATCACATTATAGCTCACAGCAACCTCCAACTCTTGGGCTTAAGTGATTCTCTTGCCTCAGCCTCCCAAGTAGCTGGGACTACAGGTGCCCACCACAATGCCTGGCTATTTTTTTTGTTGCAGTTGTCATTGTTGATTTTAGCTGGCCTGGGCCGGGTTTGAACCCACCAGCCTTGGTGTATGTGGTCGGCACCCTACCCACTGAGCTATGGGGGCCACCTGGGACATGTGAGCTTTAAATAAGTAATAAACCATCACTGGCTCCCATGTAGCAATGACCTATGGGGTCCTCGTGTGCCAGGAGCTTCACCAATATCTCAGATCTTTACAAGAACCTAAAAAATAACAGTTCCAAGTCACAGATGAAGAAACAGAGGTTCAAGGGAAATACCAGACCCACACAGCTAGGAAGTAGCTGTGCTGGAATTTCAGTCCTTTTCTTCCTGGCTCCAAAGAAGACTCTCTTATTATTCCCTGCTGGAGGAGAAGGCACTGCCAATCCTCACCCTGTACCAATTCTCCAGTTAAATTAGAAGCTAAAGTTGTGGAGCACCAGAACATGTTCTTGTTTAATATGCTCCATGCCATGGAAATGTCTTGTGGAGAAAACATGAAGTATTATATTCCTGGAGTATGCTGCAATTAGCAGTAATGCATTTTCACTGTAGGAAGTTGGAAACTAACACATTTTCCTGAAGACTTGATTAAACAGTGTTTCCTCTTAGAAGGCCTCCATGTGCCCCACACACCAACTCTGTGTGTTAAAATACATAACGCTTCTGCCCTAGAGTGGACTCTTCTCAAACAGCACTAGCACCGAGTGACTTGAGTAAGCATTGAATGTAAATGACATCATTATAAGGATATTAAGGGGTCAAACTGTCAAGGCCCCTTGCTAAACTGAAGCTAATTTCAGGAGTCATATTTGCACAGTAATGCTCTGTTATAATAGCAAATAAATCACATTTGCAACAATTCTTAAAAAACTAACTGCCAAGTATCTGCTGCGGTGGTAAACATCCTATTTGTCAACTTAAATATTTCCTGCTGTATGGCATAAAATGTAAATCAGATGGGGACAGCTATTTTCCCCTAAGACGACACGTGAACTTGCTGTTCTTGTGTATCAGGCATTTTGTTTTAGAGCTTCTATTTAGATGTTTGGGTGGCCTTGATCAATGGGAAACATAAAAAACATTATCAGTTTTTCACATAAATAATATTAATGCATGGTGGAAAGGATTTTAATAGGAAGACAGTATAGTGTAGGAGAAAGATCAAGAAGCATAGAGTTAAGAGAGCCTACAAGTAGCCCTCACAGCATGAACTTGGACGGGTTCTTTAACCTTTCTCAATATCAGTATCTTTAAGTGTAAATGGAGCAAATGGGTTTGAAAATAAAATAAGTACATATAAAATTGCCTTATAAATTATTAAGTTCAAAATAAATGCTACTTATGATTATAAAACATTTCCTTTAAGAGGAGTAGATTCTTAGGGGACATGCTAATTGTCTATGTTAGCTATTAGTCGGCCTCATTTCATAATTGTTATACTCATACCTAATCCTTGGGTTCAACACAATTCTGTCCACTAGGCAGTTAGGTTTGGGCAAGGTTGGTATTGTGCCCTATCTCCATTTTACCGATAAGGATACTGAGATCAAAAAGAGGATTCACGGTTTGCCTAAGATCACAGAGCATAGATCAGTCTTTTGAGAGCTGAAATACTTTTGCTTTGCCAGGCTGTCCTAACCCAGTTGGTTCACAAAGGAATCACAAAGGAAATAGGACAAATTTTCTTAAGCCTTTTCCTCAACAGCAGGCCTGCCTGATTTGCTCAGATAATTGTTCTGTTCTCCATCTGCTTTTCCCATTGAAGACACTGCCTGAGGCATGCTTGTTTTGTGTACAGAGGTTCCCGTCTTCCCCTCTAGACTGTCAGGCCTTTAGGGGAAGCTGCCAAGTCTTTGTCTTCCCAAAGCATCCAGTGTCTGGGGCAGGGGCTCAGCAGGGCACGTTTACAATCCCCATCTTTCATTGTGGACTCCTCTGCAACTTTTAGGGAACCAGATCCAGGTGAGTCTTGGGACTGGTTTCAGATTCAAACGTGGTAAATACTCAGTGAGCACTTCCTCTGTGCCAGCCAGACGCTTTCACACACCTCTCATTTAATCCTATTCTTGATTTGGCACTTCAGTATTAACTTTATAACCTAAGCTCTCTCAGCACTGGGTACCCTATCTCAACTTAGATGAGTGACAATGATGTCCTATTCATAATACAAAGGCACTGTGAGTGAGGATGGGGAGAAGTGGATGGATTTTTAATTGTGTGCATGGTGGCTTTAACATGACTGCTTATAATGACGTATAATGACTGGCTTGACAGGTTAATTGATTAGATTCGAGGGTTAGGGAAAAACATCACTGAAGGTTAGAGCAGGAAAGACCCTTAAAAATCACCTAGTATAATCAGTTTACTTTATAAATGGGGCAACTCTTGCATGAAAAGCTAAGTGGCCTGCCCTAGGTTGCAGAGCCAGGCATCACGACTGTGTGCTGGGAACCTAAGGAGTCTCAGCTCTCAGTCAGAGATCACTTGTTGCTAGTTGTTTGACTGAGTGAGAATATTCAAAGATCATTTTCTTAAAAATGGCTACACTGCTAGAGAATCAAGGCCTTAAGACCACAAGGGATACAGATATAATCATCTCAGCCATACTACTTGTATTATTGAAAAACCACAGCTGTACAACATTTTGGCATTGGTTAAAAAGATTACGACATCCAAATAGCAGGGTAGTCTGTGATATTATATTTGATAATTAGAGATTAATTGTTTGAGATGACTATTTGTGAATAACTTTTGATGACTTAGGAAGATGAACAACACAGCAGGAGGAGGAGAGAAAGTTATATAAGCAACATGACCCAAGCTTTGCAGAAATAATGTACTTGGAAAAGACTAGATGAGAATATAATAATCAGTGTTAATATTAGTAGAATTATAACTGCAATTATATACAGACTTTCGTGTCTAGTCTTGATCTGCATCATCTGATATGGTGGCCACCAGCCACAAGTGGCTATCAAGCATTTAAAATGCGGCTAGCTCAAAAATGCACACCAGAGCTTGAAGATGAGGATGTAAAAAGGAATCTAAAATATCTCATTCATAATATTTTATTCTGATTACATGCTAAAACGAAAATATTTTGGGTATGCT